CCTTCTTTTAACGCTTCTTTCGCAGACAAACCAGTCGCTATGTTAGTCTTGGGCAGCGAGATGGTTGCCAAGGGAAGTGGAATAAACCATTGGAACGCTATGATAGAACGACCCGAGGCGACTGTCACGGAGTGTCACGAAATGCAGTCTCTCTGATACCTAACCATCTCCAATTTGACTCGCCTTCCCCCCTTTGCCCCTTTTTTGTGCGCATCAACCCAACTGCGATGGAAATGCACAATTTCCTACATCTGTGTCTGCTCATTGTTTATGACTGATGTTCGAGTTCATCTGCATTCTTGATCTGTTTAAGGGAGTTCGATACCCTCGACTGGAACTGCTAAAGTTGGTAAAAAATAAGCTAGAGATTTTCCAATCCCTAAATAGAAAATGGAAGAATTTTTTTAGCTGGCCTGATTAAAAAGAAAACTGGTAGTAGACTTAAGGTAAATACGCTTATGTGAATAGGAAGGCAATCGAGATGAAACTAATGGTTGAATTCTGTTGTTTATCCTGCTACGCAATAAATAATGAAGTAAAATAGAGTTAATAAAAGTATTTCCGTCATGAGCCTTAAAAATATCTTTGAATGTTCATTGTATTCCCAGGCGACATTAGTACAGTCCCACTAAACCAGAAGATCATTCTCTACTATGAGGAATCTATGGAAAGGTCTCATTTGTGCAGTAAGACTACAGTAATCTTGCCCACGGATTTCGCGTCATATAATCCCCATCTTTTACAGCAGGGTGAGATGCGACAGTCTACACTCCACTTTTGGAGTAAAATAGAGGATGTCTGTTAGAGGGAGGGGATCTCGCCATCTGCTGCCTCTTCCACATTCTGCATGACGAAGGAATGGATGGCTGTTGTTCTTCATGACACCTGACCTTCTAGGTGCCTTCTCCTGAGTTGATCCCTTCAACTCCAGTGAATAGCGCGTTGATGATGGGACTACTGACAGTTGCGCTGGCAACGCCAAGAACCCGCTGGCGTCTGGTACCGCTAACTCTGGTCAACTGCGGGGGCTGTCCACAACTTTGGAAAAGTATTCATGCTAAATTATCTCAAAAGTTCTATTCTTACAGCTAATTTCCCACCAGTCCAAAGTTTGAGCCCTTACTCAATGCTTTCTGGTTGGCTGAGACGACATTCGTTCCTTACAACCTCACAGGCCATCCACGCGTGGTTACTCATAAACCTAGGGAATACCGAAAGACGTGGAAGTGTTGAGTCACTTTAAGCCCATCATCGCCTTCTACCTTAATCCCGTTTTGGGTCTCTCGCGCAACTACTCCACAGGTGCCTTCTCGCCTGTTTGGACAACTTTACCTATACAATCGGTAGCACACAACTTTGAACACTTGGACCGCTATTAGACCAGGCATTTTTAGCCCAACCCCATAATTAGCCATTCCTAAATTACCGCCATTTGAAAAGTCATCAGTTGACATATTATTATTACAGAGAGTGGGGGTTTATTTATTTAGTCATGGAATGAAGGCAAAATAATTTCCCAAACTTTATTTTCCCATTCCATTGAGTTTAAAAACAAACCGCCTAGACGACCAAATAAGAAAGGATTGCAAATCGAAAGTGGTGTGCGTTCTATAGCCCTTAAATCAGGAGGTCGGTAGAGTTCTTGTGATTTTCAGTGAAGCTCGTTGTCGTGGGCTGTTATGCCTTGTATGGACCTGTCAGCTACAGGCTAATGTTTGTATCATGGAATAGAAAGCATAGAATTGCATCGGTCAGTACGCTTCCCTGTGTTCTCTACTGCTGTTGCTATTGTAGATGTTGGTATTATCGGACAAAGTGTTAAAAAAAAATAAAAGAAAAACTAGGGTGATGACGAAGCTCTTTCAGCGGATGTTTCCACACCTTATACCACTCAGAGCTAAAAACACCACGTTCAGGAAGAACTTCCAGTCTTAACAAGGGTCAACAATTATACTGTGCTAGTGCCACGTTAAATGACCCTCGGCTGACAAGAACCACTAATTATGAAACGACTAATTTGCGCTTAAGATTTCAGCTAGAAGGAGAATGTTGTGGAAGTAGAAAGAACTGATCTGCAATGGCAGCAGATGACAGAGGTGAAGATAGAAGAACTATCAATTTGTCCTACACTCCTTTCACGTATTTAGAGGCAAAAATACTCCGCTGATTATCCTTAAACAATTCATTCGCTACCATCCCATGATTTCGAGACGCAGCAGACGACGTTAGTTTTGTGGAAGCGGTTATGCTGGAGCAACTGTTAACTAGCAATTGCAGCAGGGATTCATCTACCCAACGCAGTTTGATCCGACTGGAATGCCTGGAACGAGAATTACCTCTTCAAAGTCAACCCGGACCAGCAAGTGAATTAGCAGTGGTAATCTCACAACGAAAGATTTCACACTACACACTAGAAATCAGGAAAATGTGGAAGCCGAAATACTGTTTGGTCCTCCGCATTCCCGTGGTGATGGTGTCAGTGCTTCTTTGAGCGATGAGAACTACCACTTCCCTTCACTAAAACTTGTCAGAGGCACAAAAAATGAAAAAAAGGGAAGTGAAAAAAATAAAACCTGGAAAGAAATGGAGGTATCAGAGCTAAGTCTAAGCTGCTAGCTTCCGGGGGCAGAACGTTTACCCCCGATAGTGTAAGAGGAATTATTTCAAAAAATGGAAGATCCTCGAGAAGTCTGCGGGGGAGGTGTCAATTTCTCCAAGCCTGTGCACACCAAAACATCTCTCCACACAAAAGAAGGATATTTTAAAAGTGGATTTTCCCCTTGTTGCTTTCTGTTGTTTGATTGAAAATGTTCTATGAGGCAGATAACACCAAACAGGAGGTTACCTGAAAGTGTCTTCTGAAAACCGCCTTTGTCATCATGCCAGAAATGGAAAGTTTAAAATAGACTGGAGTGACATTAAAAAGGTTTAACGTTACACCCTAGTGGGATATTAAATACAGACACAGGTGGGGGAATTCCATGTGAGTAGCCTCCACACCTCTCCCATTTTTAGTCAGTGTAGGTGGTGACAAATTGTCTCACCACTCTGACGATGTGTTGCTGAAGAAAGAGAAGAAATGGGTGAAATCAGTGACACGAAGGAGAGATTCAGTTTATCACTCTATGATGCTTTTTTGGAGACGTTATAGGTGCTTCGATCTCTCCAAAAATTAGTTGTTACCATTTTTGAACCAGGAGATGCCATCCAATCAAGTTACTCGGCGACCCACATCACATCAAAATGAGTCAACTGAATCCAAATCAGTGTGGTCTGTCGCTATGATAATACGCATTTGACAGCATTCCCCTTGATTATGGCTTTCATCGGCACATTACTTTCATCCTCTCCTCTCACATCGTTGAATGTTGGTCCAAATTGATAGACGTGGCCTGAACTCGTCTTCCCTATAACACCAGTCCAACTCGGCTTCGCAGTTACAGAAAGCCTCGTAACATCTTGTATGCTAATCGCATTAGCGGAAGGTGAGGTGGTGCAATGGACAGAGCAGAAAAAGCATAAAGGGAGGATTTGCTTCAAGTGATGGATCAGTCCAAGATGAGTGCATGCCATTCAGAAGGTATTGCATCCTAAGTAAATAAGTGGCGCTCCAGTCGCCAGACCAAAGTCCTTTAGCAGCCGCTGGCTTATACATGGATGTGCAGATGTGAAGATGCAGGTGTCCAAATGTGGGCACTTGTTAGGCCAATTCATGTACCAGATTTCCGCTCCAATGAGCCACTGGCCCTCAGCTCCACTGGTCATGTCCAATACACAGGTGCTTGCCACCCGGACGTAGCCGTCTTAACATGAAGGCTCACTCCTCTGGCTAGTCATGCAGAGTGATGAAACGATTTGTTTACGCTTATGACTTTGACTGGAATGGAAAGGTCGTGATGCTAAGCCAAGAACATCCACCCACACGGTATCCATTGTCAGTAGTAGACAGCTAGCACCCACTTGTAAATTCTTCCGCTATCTCTTCGACTCACGTGTGAAAATGCATCGTAGTTTACTAGGCCACTAAAATTATGAAGATTTCATAGAAGACCGATTTGCTTTCTAGTTTCAATTCTATTTACTTCAAGGGCGGCCTCAAACTCAAAGTAGACAATCGGAAATCACCAATGACCTCCCACATTTTCAGTGAGGTCCGCAAATCCCTACTTAAATAGATTTTGTCTATCATTTTAGGTTTTAGAAGGTTTTGCCTTTTTAAAACTCCCATATTTCAGCTCCGAGTTGTTGCGTGATACCAGCAAATAACAAACGGAGTAGCCTTTTAAATCGCACAAAGTGTTACTTGCATGTGAGCAAGTGCAGTGGGAAAGATAACCTTAAACTGGAGGGGAATCTAAAGCATGCAGCAATTTGAGGGACACAAGCATACCTTAACGAAATCCCGCCTACATATCCTGGCATTGATAAGCAACAACCCTCAAGATTGTAACGTTATTGAAGGACCATGGATTTTATTCTGATCTTGTGATAGTGCCAAGGTTACTAAACGATTGTCTCTTGGGTTTGTTATTCATCTGCCCCAATCCTAGAGTAGTAATTTTCCAACTTCAACTTCTTCATGTCTCCGTAATGCGTGGCTACTTATTTGGGTCTTTCAGTAGTAGTGATTGCTCGTCCATGTCGCTGACCTAAAACAGAGGTAATGGGTCAGATCAAAAATGCTTTTTTATTCTCAAAGAATTGTGCAAAGCCTGAGATCCTGGTTTATTCTCAAAAGGAGTTTTTTTTTGCCGTTTTCTACGATTGGGAGGCGTGAATTAGAGACAATTCTGCGAAGCATTTCATCCACATGTATTCGGTCGAAATAAGACTTAATAATGTTTGTTTGCTTTTTTATAACTTAGGGCTTTTCGAGAGGTCTGTTGTACTCTCCATTGTCAATGCGTCCAAAAAATCTCATGTCTCTTCATATATGCATTGTCGACGAGGTTTCTTAAACAAATGCCTACTCCGAAAAGCTGAAGCACAAATTCAACTTCTGTATGTCCATCCCGCCATCTGTAGGTCCATCAGTCTGTCTGCCTTCCCATCCGTTCACGTTTTTGCTCATCTGTATTTGGTGTCTTTTACATCTCCATAAATTGCGTAGCAGTAGCTGCATTAAATCTCACTGTCCAGAAAGTGAATTTACCAGT